TATTTATTACAAATCATTTTATAATTTTTTTCAATTCATTCAGGGTTATTGAAAAATGAACATATATATCTTCTAAAAATTTGAAACTTTGTGCACCGTGAGTTGGAAAAGACAATTCACAACAATTATTATTGTTTTTTTATCGACCTTCTTTGAGCTTTTTCACCTTCTACAATCTGAAAACTATGAAAATTGTAATGGTGAACTTAATACACGTGTAGAAAGGGCAGACTTTTTAGTTAACCCCGATAAGTTACTGCGTAAATTAAAAGTATTTCTCACGAAAAAAATATCTTATTTAATAATTTTGCCTATCAAAAAAGGGCTAAGAAATTATACAATAACGTTCCTGCATTTGTCTTCAGAAATGGACAAAATTTAAGTTTATACTGCGTATAAACGCAGTTTTTCCTTTGCTGATTATTTTTATTTCTCAGCTTCCTCGACTCATGTTCCTCCACAAAAATTGACTTTCGCTTAATAATCATTATCGATTATGCAATCATCATAGTTTTCAGATAATCTTTTATTGTAAAATGATTTTCAGATCTATAATTATATGTTCATTTTCGCATATATATTTCTAAAATTGTTTATTATTTTATGTACATAATCTTCAAATAAAAATTAAATTTTTCAGTATTCCAATAAAGGATTCCAAATTAAGTTACAACAAAGGGTGAATATACTGGTATTTGAGCCGCCCTTCAAAAACTTTAGAGATACCCTCATACACTTAATAGACGATATTATTGATGCTGTTATGGATATTCCACGTTTGGAAACAAAATTATATTTGGACTGGCAAGAAACGGCGTTTCTTCAGGTAACGATGATAAAAAGCAGGGAAACTAACGATTAATGTTATTACATAGGTTGATCATTTGATCATTGAATGTAAAATATATTATTTTGCCAATCAGCACTAATTTGCACCAAAATTAAACTTTACCTTCATACTAAATTTCCCCAGATACATTGGCCGATTATAATAATGAAATTAAAATTCAAAATATGTTTGAAAATACAGGGTGTAACTAAATAAGTGTAAAGCATTTAAGCGGGTAATTCCTCATCGAAAAAAAGATAGGATCTTTCATATAAAGACATTTCATTGGAGCATCTCTTGTTGAGATACAGCCCCTTAAAGGGGGTACATAAAATTTGTATAACAATTTTTTACACAAGTACTAATATATACATATACACAGAA